AATGGAAACAACTCCTTCCTTGTCCTCGGACTCTACAGACCGTATGAATAATCCCAGTTCTTCAAAGAGAACTTTTGAGACTGTAGATCTCAAAGAACAGTTTGCCATAACCCAAACAGAACCCCAAGACACAGATGATTCTCAATCCTCTGAAACCACATAATCCTCCTCAACCTCTTCAGATGAATCCCTGAGTTCTGAAGAAGCCTTTGAACCAAACTATCAAACACCTGAAACCACCCTTGAAACTTCTGAAGAAGAACAATCAGATGAGACAGATTCTTCTGAGACAGATTCTTCTGATCTTTCAGAAGCCAATTATGCCAATATTACTAGCATACTGATGGCTAGAACTGCAGAATCCAGAGTTGAAACATACTATGATTCTCCTGAATCTGAAGCAGGTAATGCTACTAGTGGAAATCAGCCAAAGAAGCCAACCTCTGGAGGACCTTGGTTTACATTTGATGATATTTCTCCACACCTATGGAGAAAGAGACTTCTAGAATTTGGAGCATGGATAGATACTAAGTTGTTAGCTGCTGATGCTGATCCCTACAAGGTGATGGAAGAATTTTGCTCCAAAATGATTGGTTCTCTGAAAGAATGGTATCACAACTTGGGAAGTGTCAGACAAGATCAACTTCACCAAGTAGGTACTTCCTCTGGAATGCTAGGAGTTCTTCACCGAGAATTCATTGGAGATGGAGACATAATTGACAAGAAGAACAGGCAAGAGTTTTTTCAAATGAAGTGCTGCTTTTTGAAGATAAAAGATCTAGAAAAGCATTTTAAAAGAATGATGCAGAAATTCTATTTGCTGAATGGATACAATGATCCAAGCCTCAAAAACACTTATGTGGCTTATTTTCCTAAAGAGATTCAGCCAGAGCTTAACAGAATGGCGATTGCTCAAGGGAAAGATTTCACAGCCCTCACTATGGGCCAGATTCACCAGCTGACTCTTGAAGCGGTGGATAAACTTTGCAAGCAGCATAAGTATATGACTGACCTGATGAATCAGAGGTCAAAGTACACTCAAGCCTGTAAGAAGCCTTATCTAGAGATAAAATGCAAAGATAGCAATTGTGATTACGGGCCAAAGAAAAGGAACCATTTCAAGAAGTATAATCCGAAGCAAAAAGGCAGAAACAAAAAGAACCTAAAACAATATAGGTTCTTCAAGAAGAAGAAGTTTCGGGGAAAGAATAAAGGCCAGAGATGTTTCATTTGCAAGGAGAAAGGTCATTTTGCAAAGAACTGCCCCAACAAATCAGATAAAGTAGTAAAAATGATAACTGCTTTGAATCTTGACGAAGGAGATGCAGAATCTTTGTACTCAGAACAAAGCACTGGAGATGAAGACAGTGTCTTTGCACTACAAGATTCCTCCTCTAATTCTGATAGTGATGTTCCAATTTTTGCTATAAATGAAGTATTCTACATCAGTCCAGAAATACCTAAGCCCAGTGTAGAAGTTCATATTTTATCATCCAAATTCAGTCATCCTAAAAAGGTGATTGCATTCATGGATACTGGTGCTGCAAGATCGATGATGGATCCCAAGATCTTACCTCCTGAAGCATGGAAAAAGGAGACAACTTATTTTATAGCTGCTGATGGCAAAGCATTCAGAACTAATTTGATCACTAAACATCCTATAGGGATAAGATTTTTCCCTGAATGTGTTATCTGGACAAATGTGATTGGAACTCCTCTGCCAGATAAAGACATTTTGATAGGCATGGATGTCTACACTAAAGCCAAAAAGCTTCAAATCCTTCCTCAAGGGATATGATTCAAAAGAGATTTCAAGCCTTATTCATAAACCTCAAGATTATATGCTCTTTCTGAAGCTCCTCCTGAACTTGATGATATCAAAGGGAAACTGTTACCTCTGTGTACAGAAAATCATGGGGAATTCTCTTATCCAAATCCTTTGTGGAAGAATGAAGACTTTTTTGTACAGCTTCCCTTCAAGCTCAATGAAGATATTAATCCAACCAAAGCAACTTATCCAGGAATGTCCCCATCAGACCTTATATTGGCTAGAATTGAATGCCAAGAACTGCTAAAGCAAGGACTGATAGAGCCTACCAAATCTCCATGGGCATGTCAAGCCTTTTATGTGGAAAAAAGGTCAGAAAAAATTCGAGGCAAGAAAAGATTAGTGATTGACTATAGGCCTCTAAATCATTTTTTGCAGGATGATAAGTTTCCTATCCCAAAGGTTGATACACTTCCTATCCTTTTTAAGCATGCTCATATCTTTTCCAAGTTTGACATGAAAACAGGTTTTTGGCAACTTGGATTAGATCCTGCTGATAGATACAAGACTGCTTTCTGCATTCCGAATGCCCAATACCAATGGAAAGTGCTTCCATTTGGTCTCAAAGTGGCTCCTTCTCTTTTCCAGAAAGCAATGACCAGAATTTTTGCCCCACTTTTAGATACAATTCTTATCTATATTGATGATGTTCTTTTTTTTCTAAAAATATGGAAGAACACAAGAAGCTGCTCAACCAGTTTGCAGAACTAGCTAATCAATATGGACTTATGCTCTCCGAGAAGAAGATCCATATTGCCCAGACTGAAGTTGATTTTCTGGGAATGCATTTCTCAAAAGGAATGTACCAGCCACAGCCACACATTGCAAAAGGACTTGCAGAATATCCTGATGAAAATCTCACTTTTAAACAGATTCAACAGTTTTTAGGAATTGTTAATTATGTGAGAGATTTCATTCCTAATGCAGCAAAGTATACCAGTGTACTGTCCAAGCTGTTAAAGAAAGATCCTCCTCCGTGGGGTCCAGAACAAACTCAAGCTGTTAAGGAACTAAAGAGGATTGCTCAGAATCCACCAGCTCTGAAGATTCCCAGTACTGGTAAAAGAATTCTTCAGACAGATGCTAGAGATCATTTCTGGGGAGCGGTTCTCATTGAAGAAGTTGACAACAAGAAGTACTACTGTGGACATGCAAGTGGTCAATTTACAGATGCAGAACTCCATTACCATACCACTTATAAGGAAGCCCTGACAGTCAAAAATGGAATCAAGAAATTTGATTTCCATCTTCGAGGTCACAATTTTGAAGTCCAGATGGATAATTCTTCTTTTCCAAAAATCCTGGAATTCAAGAACAAAATGCCACCAGATCCTCAAATCCTCAGGTTAAAAGATTGGTTTTCCAGATATGATTTCACCGTCAAACACATCAAAGGAAGCCATAACATTATCCCTGACCTCTTATCTAGACCTTCCAGATTAACCAAACCAAAAGCCCCTGTCCAAGTCATTTCCAGCATAGCCAGTGTTCCATTTCCTCTGATATACATGAATGAACCATTACCTAGAACAGCCAAACAAAAAAGAGTCTATCCTCCAGAATTAGGCCAACCTACCTCAGTCTACCAGATCCAAAAGTTTGCCAAAGACTTTTATTTTTATTACTGTTATAAGGTAGGAAAAGAAAAAACACAAGAAATTATTCCCTCTGTTTTTAACCCAGAAATTCCTTTCCTGCACATCCTAGAAGTATTTCCTGCCATAGGATGGGATATTTCAGAAAACACACTATGGTGCATTTGGTGTCTCACTGTTAATTATTCAGTTCCTCTTGCTCTTAAAGTCCAAAGGGCTTATGAGATCCTTATAACTCCTGATGCAGTAGATGCTTTCTTATGGACTTTGTTGGAATGGTATTCTCCTATACCATGGTGGAGAAAAGAACTACACAAGATTATTCTAGCCAAGGAACAAGAAGGAAAAACTGAAGAAGAGATCACAAAGATCACTGCCATTTTCATTATTCACAGACCTTACTGGCAAAGGCCCGATGGAATTCTTTGGTCTCAAAATATTGCATATCTTTGGGAATATTTCAATGATTACCATTAGATCCCTGTTCCAAGAAGACTTTGCTGAAACATGTCCAAGAACTCAACGGGTATGTAGAACCAGAAGACCAGCCCAGTTCATCACATGACCTAGGCCCGAGTTCCTCACAAGCCCAAGATCCAATGCAAATTGATTTGATCTTTGATCCAATAGATGATGATGCAAATGCTGATGTCATGAAAGAGATAATTGAAGAAAAAGGCCAAAGCAGACACACCTTGGTGGAAAGAGATGTATGGTGAGGTCCACGGAGAAGAAAGGAAAGCTCTCAACTTGTCCATTAGCACAGACACTAATGATGATGTCTAGGACACTTGTGTGGTTATGATTTAAAGAGTGTGCAATAATTCCGCTTTTAGAAAAGTTGAATAATTAAAGTGTGAACAATAATACAACTTTTAGAAAAGTTGTTTGTCTTATTGTATAATTATGTCTAGTGTGATGTAATTTCCTTTTTTGTTTGTATTATGGGTTCCTTGCCTATAAAAGGAACTTGGAGTGTGCTTGTATTCTCAGATCGAGTTTACAGAAAATAAAAGCTTGTGTGTTTCCTTATGGATTTCTAAAGAGTTCTTTCTTCTCTCCGAAAACTTAGTATAATGTTCTTACTATAGTTACTAATCTCTGGATGAGGAAGTTAGTATGCTCTACACTTGCCCTGCAAAGGGATCCTGTGTATCAGAAAACGGACTCTGTGATGATCCAGTCTTACAGTCCTCTCATCTTTAAGGATTCATGGATGATAGTCTACAAGGAAAGAGCTAAGAGGCTAAAGGATGTCGTGAAATGCTCAGATAGATGGATGACTAATTCATGGATTCTTAAGGATTGTGAGGCTCCCGAACACTTGGTATCAGAGCCAACCTCTGTGTCATCCCCGATGACAGGCTCCCTGCCCGATGGTGGCAGCTTAAAGGAAACTCTTCGAGTTTCTTCCAGAGAGAGGGTAAAGATAGTAATGATATTATATGAGGTGAGTAGGAGAAGAACTTCTCAAACCATGGATAACACAAACCCTGATAACTCCCAGCCTATTATGTTACAATCTTCCTTGTCCCTTCTTAAACATATCCCCTCAAAGAAAAAATAATTTTTATTTTAATAGATTAATATTAAAATAATATATTAATTTTTGAAAATTAGTTGGTTAACGAGGTTAATACACCAATCTCTTGTCAGACCCTATCCCTCACCTTAGGCCGGATTAAGTTATACATAATAATTCTGATGTATTAAGGGATTATGCTGTTATACTATACGATAATCACACCAAACAACTGGAAATTTCATAAGATATATTGTTCCTCCCGTCACTCCAAATAGGCCGGGAAGTTGAGGCGGCGAGTGTGGTGGTTGGTAGTAGCCTTGTTGCTTTGGTTGGGTTAGGTTTGGTTTGGTTTGTGTGGTGGCGAGTATCTTGAATCAATGGCGTCTCAATCGGCCAATCTATGGGTTTTGTTGGGTTTGGGTTTGGCTGGAATTTTCGTCCTCACCAGAAAGCTGAAGCAAGCTGTGAAAGAGGAATTGGGTGCTTTCATTGAGAAGCTTCAGCTGCTTCCTCCTCCACAGCCTGCTCCTCCCAAAGCTCCTCATCCACTCACCGCCCTCACTTTCGCCCTTTCCGACCTGTAACTTAACCTAATCTTTCTTCATCTTCTTCTCTTTTATTATTATTATTATTATCATCATTCCTATTTATTATTTATTCATTGTTTGTTGTCATATCATATGGATATGGTTATTTACCAGGTTTGACATAGAGGGACACGTGTCCACGTTTGGGCATCCCGAATGGGCAAGGACTCATGAACCTGCTTCTTCAACATCTCCTGCAGTTTCTGCTCTTGTTGAAGGAGGTGCAACCTGTGTTGGAACTACTGTTGTCGACGACCTAGCATTTGGGTTCGTACCATTTTTTTTTTCTATTTTCTTTACTGCGTACTAAAACTAGTGTTAACTGCCTTTGAGTTTTTCAATCAATAGAACCCTGTGGGAAGGTGTGGTTTAAGTTTTGTGTTCCTTGGCTTCCTAACACAAATAGCCATGATTAAAAAGATAAAAACACTTGGCCATGCTGATGCTGCTTGACAAAACATTATATCTAAATGTCAATAATCTGTCTAGTAATTTATTTGATTACGGAGGTCTTCCCCCAAGGGAGTACCAATTATATATAACCTTGCTAAGTTTTTCTACCATATGACGTAGTAATAAGGTTTGTAAAGGAAGGATATGGTGTGGATTTAGTGTGACTTTCATTTCTTCCCACTGTTTGATCCTCTGGGTTTTTGGATTTGGGGAAAAAAAATTAGTTTGTTTTGTAAATTTTTTATTTTCAGTATCAGTGGCGAAAATAAGCATTATGGAACACCAACCAATCCTGCTGTGCCTGCTCGAGTACCGGGTGGCTCCTCTAGTGGTGCTGCTGTCGCTGTTGCTGCTAATTTCGTTAGTTTCTCGTTGGGTGAGCTTCTTGATATCTTTTTATTTTAATAGCTGATGATCTTCCTTCTTTGTTTTTATAAAGACACATGGCAAAGTTCATTGCCGCTTATCAATAACATTAAAGAAGGTTTATGGACAATTTTATACATCATTTAATATGTTGTGTGTCTTCTTTCATTGGCTGGAAGATCTTTTGCTGGAACAAAGTAATTAAATAGCTGGAAGGTCTTTAATAAAATTTTCCTCCTGGGATGTTACAGGGTTACTAATTCATGATGTAATGGAAGTGTTTACCCCAGAGGTGGTTCCTTTTTTCTTTTACCCCAACCCCTCCCCAAGGAATTTTGTCAAGTCTGTTTTCTTTATATACCCAGATACTGGAATTTGTTGAGTCGTTGCATAAATCAGTCTATACTAATTGAAAAAATGCCAACTACACTCTTGGCAGTTTTTGCTCATGGGCAATCCAATGGATGATGATCCTAGTTGTCAACTTGTCATATAATTTACATCACATAGGATGATGGCTATAGAAAGCTATCTATTTGAAGTTTTGGCACACTGAATTTGATTAGTGAAAGATCTAATGGATGGTTGGTTGGGAGGAATAGGCATTTTTTGTTCTTTTGAGGTAAGCTTGTTGCCACCAAGAGTGTTATCTGGTTTTCTTCTTGGTTCATGCCTCTGTTTCTCAAATTGTCTTTAGAATCAAGTATAGGCATGATCTCCTTTTGCAGTTTAAATTAACTCGGACCATAACACAGAAAGGTGTTTAAAATGCATTTAAAATCCAGACAATTAATTGTTTAACTATGTCAATAGTAACTCTTTTATTGATGGGAAATACAATATCCTAGCTTCGACGTGCTGTATGGATTAAGATATTAATGGAGGTATATCTGTAACTTCAAATTTATTGTTTTACTTTAATGTAAATTCTTGTTGCCACATCTCTGTAAAACATTTCAATTCTAAAAGCGATAGTTTTTTTTTTTATTTGTAATTTTTTATTTAATATCACCCTATGCTTATATCTGAATATGTTTCTGATACTATTGCACCATGGAATATAACAGGTATTGATACTATTGGAGGAGTGAGAGTACCTGCTGGATTTTGTGGTATTCTAGGATTTCGACCTTCATTTGGTGCTGTTTCAAATATTGGAATCATACCTATTTCAACAAGTCTGGACACTGTTGGTATGAATGATTCAATTATTTATGCTGGTTCGATTTATGGGCTTGTGCTTTTGAGTGGCTGATTTATTTATTTATTTTGAATGCTTAATATATTTGTGTATAAAGATCTAATGCACATATGGATTTGCTTAATTTTTAGGGATTTTTCCATAAAGCATTCCCTGCCTTATAAGCTATTTTAAACACAAAAGAAGTTAATCCAAACACACAGCATGGTAGAAAACATATGTTCTGTTATAATTGTTGTATAGACTTTATTTATATAGTTGCTGGCACTGTCTTGGATTTTGTATATGGATGCTATTAGTATGCCATATGTTGTATTTTTAAATTTCTTTTCAACTCTGAATGCAGGTTGGTTTGCAAAGGATCCTAATATTTTGTGTCGTGTTGGCCATATACTCTTAAAAGCACCATTTGTAATGCAACGCAATCCTCGGCAAATAATTATAGCCGACGATTGTTTTCAACATATAAATGTTCCTGTTGACAGGAGTTCTCAAGTGGTGATCAAAGCCACTGAAAAGCTTTTTGGGAGTATGTTCTTTTACTCTGTGCTTTGCAATTCAATATAATCCCTATCGTTTCAGTCCTCATTTTGTCTCTCCGTATTTTTTTAAAACAACTATGTTCTTGAAATTGAACTTCATTAAACTTTGCTCAACATCAATTGTCTTTAGGGCAAGTATTGAAGCATATAAATCTCGAGGACTATATAAGTTCTGAAGTTCCTAGCTTGAAGGAGTACTCCAGCCAGAAAACAAATGGTGAACTGAAAGCTTCTTCATTAAAATTACTTGCCAACATTATGAAATTTCTACAAAGGTTAGTCAGATTCTTTGTGATATGGAAATAATATTATAATCTGTAATTTTATGGTAAACACTAGATGGGCAAGAATGGGGTGCTTTTCAACCGGTCATTTGGTCCTTTTTGGAGCTGTTTTACATTCAGCATTTTTGCAATTAATGTTCTATCTAATTACAGCTAAGATGTCATAATTTCTCTTTCCAATTAATGTTCCTCATTGTGGGTGCACATTATTTGTATTTGTTGTGTATTATGACTGTCTGTGGAAGTCTTCAATAATATAGTGTGACTATTTTCTCCATCTATTTGTACAGACATGAATTCAGACTCATGCACGATGAGTGGTTGAACATAGTAAAACCTGATCTTCATCCTGCTATCTCGGCACAATTGTATGAAAAGTTCGAGGTCTCTGATGTAGAGATTGAAAACTCTAAATCTGTTAGAAGTGAGATCCACGCTGCTGTAAATTTGCTTTTGAAGGTAATAATTTTACACCACCATGCAATATGCTTTCTACTTCTCGTAAATTCTTCTGATTTAAAGTTAATCTTCAGGCTTTCTCATACCAATTTGGCTTGCATCGTCTAGAGCATTTTATCTTGAAGTTTTGTTATCTTACAGTGTTTTAATAGTATAATAAAATCATTATTGAAACCTCATTAGTTAACAATTTCAACTTCAATTTTTGTTATCTTACAGTGTTTTATTGTACAATAAAATTGTTAACTGATGGAGTTTCAGTAACTTCTCTTTCTTTCTTTCTACCTTAACTAGAGAAGAATGTATTCATAGATGAAGGGAGTGCATAGTGAGAGGATTTTAATGTCTGATTTTTCAAGATTTAAAAGCTGTGCTGAATTTTAACAAACTTCTGGTGAAGGGAACATTGATATTGAATGAGCAGAAACCTTTCTAGAAACAAGTTGCTGAAAATATACTCTAAGGGGGCGTTTGGTTGAGGAAATTTTTTTGGAATAGTAGGGAAATGTAATAGATAGAGAAATGATTGGAAAGATAGATAAAGTGAGATAGGTAGAAAAATGTAAAAAAAAGTTGTTTGGTGGGAAAAAACTTTACTGGAAAAATTAGGTAACTTTATGAAATCAACAGTGCATTAAAAGCCAGATAACCGGTTTTTTGAAAAATCCCACCTTCAAATTGGGTTTCTAAACAGTGCGGATATCTATGTTTCTCATAAATCCATACAAATTGGATAGATGGGTTTTTGGTGAAAATACGTTGAAACAAACATGGTGTTTCTAAAAGCCATACTTTAGAAACATAGATATCCGCTGAAAAGCTCCCAACCAAACACCACCTAAATTGCATCCAGCTGACTCTTCCTTATGAAGGATGAAAGTTATTATTTTCAAAAGATTGAGAAGTAAATGTATATTCTAATCCTTATATAATTTGCTTTACACACACACACACATATATTCTGATAAAGAAAACATAATTGTGCTGAGCTTAATACATTTTTTTTGCTTTTAAGGACGAAGGAATTTTGGTGATCCCCACTGTAGCTGATCCTCCTCCAAAATTAGGTGGGAAGGAGATTCTATCAGAGGATTATCAGAGCCGTACATTTAGTCTGCTAAGTATTGCTAGTGTATCAGGTTGCTGTCAGGTAAAATTCTCTCCCTCATGAAACTTGCATAATGTTATCTGATATTTTTTCCAACTATTTTTATCTCTATATTTAGAAAAAAAAAAAAATTAACAGAAAATTGTTTCCTAAATAATTATTGCATTTAGGCTGTTTGATTTATATCAGTGACGGAATTATACCTTTATGTACTTAGTGGGGAAAGGTTTTGTTTCGTTATGCATCTTTCGTTCATATTCTCCTGATTTATCCTTTCAGGTCACAATACCATTAGGATTTTATGACAAGTATCCTGTTTCAGTGTCGTTGATAGCTCGGCATGGTGGTGATCGCTTTTTACTTGACACACTAAAGTCCATGTATTCAACTCTCCAAGAGCAGGCTGATATTGCCGCCAAAAGTAAATCATTAAGAAATGTTGTCAGTAAGGAACAAACTGCTGAAATTGCCAAAGAGAAGGTATTGCTGTTATGACATCAGAAAAGTTTAGGACTTAACTGGGATGTTTTTACTTCTAAATCACCAGTCATGTTAAATACTGGGCAGTTATAGACCACAAATTATCTTCCATTTATATAGTCCGTGAACTTCTCAGCATGTCTGTTGGGTTTAGGTATCCTGCTGGTTTTTCCTATCTTTGTGGTAGATGTGTGTGTTTCATATATATGGATTTTTACAACATTCATTTGGTATTATCCCTTCTCTCCTCCCTCTCTCATGCGTGGAGACAGTTGCATTGCAAGTGACTCATGAATTCAAATGTTGGTGCTTTTAGCTTTTTCCTGTAGGAAAACCTTTTATCTGGGTTAACATTATATATTGTGTCTTCATGGTGATACTGTATGCCAGAACTATGTCAACTGAAAAGTAAACTTTCATTGGTTAATCAATGTCGAGCATAGATTTGACACAATTTAACTATCTATTCTAACAGAGGTGGAATTGTATTGATGTATCAAACTTAGGGAAACTGTTCTTCGAAAAGTTGCAACTATCATAAAACTATTTTATATTTTCTATGTAGTTCCTTTTGAGATTCGTAATTTGACATTCTTTTGGAAGCCTTGATTCCATAAGGAAGTATCTACCACCACTTCCATCTTGCATACAGTTTTATGTTTTGTTTTTTGTTTAACTGTTGAACCTTTAATATGGTTTTCACAAGCTGTTCTGTGCATTTTTATTAAGCTGCATCTGATAATTTTGATCACTAATTCTCGCCTGTGTGTTCTTCTCCTTAATTATTATTTTTTTTGGTTTTTGACTTGATGATTCAGGGAAATCAAGCCTACAAAGATAAGCAGTGGCAGAAAGCCATTGGATTTTATACAGAAGCTATCAAACTCAGTGGCGATAATGCAACATACTACAGTAACAGGGCTCAAGCTTATCTAGAACTTGGGAGGTAGTGTTTCATTCTTGCTAGTTTACTCTTCATAAGTGCCTTGCAAACATCTTGATGTTCTTCTCTCTATTCATCCAGTTACCTCCAAGCTGAGGCAGATTGTACAAAAGCAATTAACCTTGACAAAAAGGTGATTTCTGTCGTCAAATAACTTTGTCCTTAGAAGTATATGGTACATTGTGACTTATGGTTTTCTCATTATTGACTATGACCGAAGCTTGTCTTTGTTCGAAATATGCACCCTTGATAAAAATCAAGGCTTTGTAATGAAAGTACTATTCTTCAGCGTACTAAAATAAAATTGTCATATATGACAAATACATTTCGAGTTGTATAATTGGTTGCAACAGTTTACATCCTTAGATTTATAAAATTTATCTAATTTGCTTTATGGGAGTAATAAAATAAGAAAGGAAGAAAGAGATTTAGTAACAGTGATTCTTCACCAATGGATATTCATTGGAAGATGCAGGGAAAAGATATTTCATACTAATGTTTAATCTGTTCACTTCGTATGAAGTTCCATCAAACTTGTTCAGATTCCTGCTTATTGTATATTTCCTTGTATGAGATAGCCATGAGCATTTTATAGTAACCTCCCTTTGTTATCTATTCTTTACTCAGAATGTGAAGGCCTATTTTCGTCGAGGTACAGCTAGAGAGATGCTAGGCTACTACAAGGATGCAATTGATGGTAAGATCTTTCATTTTTCTCACATTTGTATGCGTCTTATCATTTCTTTAAGAAAATTCAAGGGGGGCATTAAAGTAAAGGACCAATCTGTAGTATAAATTACAAAAAAAAAGCTATTAACCATTAGTGTGGTTCGCTACACATTTTCTTTTTGGTAAAGTCCTGCACAGTTTAGTCCTTTTCTAAAATTCTCCGAAATAAAAGTATGTCTCGAAGTGGCTGGGTCTCAAACATTGGGTTTCATATTGTGATCTTTCTCCCACGCCTTCTAGTCTATGTGCTTTAGTTGTGCTAAGTTTTTTTGTGCTTTAAGTATTTCTTCTTTTAATTTGATATGGAAATTCAAAATGTTGGGCTTTAACCTTCTACTGAAGTTTGAACTGTCCCAGTGTATAATTTAAATTATTTGTGATGAAATTTGGGGTTTTACTATCAAATTAGACAGCTACATATTAACAGGGTTCATCTTCTTTTATTATTGTTGTTATTGTTCTCATTTTCATATGAAGATTTTAGAATTTTCCAAAGCATGGGATCATAAAAATTTTGATTTGCAGATTTTAATTATGCCCTTGTACTTGAGCCAACCAACAAAAGGGCAGCTTCGGCCGTTGAAAGGTTGAGGAAACTATTCCAGTAGGGGTATATGATTGTGAACACGAGGGCTGAATCATGATGCTGACCTATTTAGGCCCTGCGACGATTGATGAGTTTCTAGTTACAATAATCACACAGGAGTCATCTGACGTGGTTTCTACAAAAGTAATTATGATTCTTTTATCCTTCATGGCAAGGCAATTTATAGACATGGAAAGCATGTATTGCTTAACCTTTTATCGGGTTCTGTGACACAGTAACGTGTTATTTCCAGAATGAGTCCCAATTTTGCTCGTGGTAAATACAGGATTGTAATGTCAGTCAAGTGAGGCGTATGCTTATGACTATAGCTCAGTATACAGCTGCGCATTTTTCTTCAGAGTAGGTTGTACTTCACAGGTTTTTAATATTTGCCCAATGGAAGCGCTTTATTTGTTAGTGCTTAAGTCGTTATTTACTACAGTCTTTTAAGAGGCAAGAGGCACGCTGAATTTGTTTCAAGGTGCTTATTACTTTTTGACCCCGTGGGGGAAAAAGGAAGAACAACCAGCAATGCTGCGACTACATCAGGAAATATGACGAATTAAATTACATCTTTGCAAGAGTACAGTGCCAAAAGTAAACTATGTAAACAATTGGAAGTAATTGTCTGTTTTCGTGGGGTTTTTTTTTTTTTTTTTTTGGATAAATCTAAGCAATAGTTTTTCAGTAAAAAATGTTAAGAGTCGTCAGAATTGATGCGAAATTGCGATACCTCATTTAGCATAAAAGTCTTGCTGGCTATGACTCGTAGCTCTCAGTCTTTGTGGTGTGTGATATAGTTCTTGTACTTATCTCCCATAGAAGTGTCTATGATCGTGTGACATAGCAATGCGACGGGGTTACTCGACCATTATTTTAATTGGATCATTATGGAACGACACTCCTTTCTACAGAACAAAATCAAAATATATAAAACAATCATTTTTGGCATTGAGTGAATTTACTTCACAAATAAGTGGTGCGTAAGTAGTATAATCAAATAAAAGTTGATTAAGATTTTTGCGCAGGAATGAGATTGGAATCCATTGCTTTACAATTCTCTACTGTAACTAGACTATAAAAGGCCCAGCATGATTAACATTGGCAAACAAAAACAAAGGCCTATAATATTCCCTTCACGAATTAGACGAGCCAGTTTTTTTTTATCGTGAACATATTCCTGTGAATATTTACAAAAAGCATGCACCTTTAATCTGCTAAATATTGCACCAAAAAGATACATGTAAACTAGGCATATCAGCGTCATCTTGTCCGGTACTTCGCTTTGACAAATAGAAATTATCTCAGTCAAATGCTAAAAGCTCATTCAGCTGTTCCTCTGTCCAATGCGGAATTGAACTTTTCGGATTTACGACCTCCGTCTGTCTTTCTAAGTGATTTTTTATCCCAGTTTCTTGCCCATCAGATATATGAACCGAGTTTGTTGAAGAACTATTGCCTTGAGCCGTCCATGTTAGTTTGTCTCCTTCACCCAATTTAGGAGGGTTGGCTTGGTCTTCCATCTCACTTTCATGCCGACTCACTGATAAGTTCTCTTTATCTGAAACAGATCTTTGGGTCTTGTCGTTTCCATCATGATCAGAGTGAGAGTTTGTTAAAACCAAAGTTTCACCCCTTTGTTTACCAATATCTGCTACTTCTCTAAACCTGGAATCTAAACGGAGATCAGTCATGATTCCTTCCGTTCTTTCCTGAGGCAGAGAGAATGTACTACCCAGCATCCATGACTTTTCATGTCTTTCTGTTTTAAAGAAGGCCAACTAATGAGCATAAATGGATTTAAAACTCTACCGAAGGCAAGAAGATCCAATAAAAGAACAATTTGAATATCTACCTATATTAGGTGAAGGGCGTCTCCCTGAGCTTGCAGGATAAATTTGTTGTGATGGAGGTCCACTCTCCTTGGAAAAGACCTGTATAACGTAAACAAGTTATCAGCACACAAACAAATACTTTATAGCAATAAACATACAAATGGACCTCATCCAATTAGTCCAAAATGCTACCCTATTCCTAACAAAATTTATAAGTTTCTAATTGGAAAAGCGAATGACATAGACTACATTCAATTCAACTCATTTAAGATTTGTTTGCAAACAAGTGCAATATGCCGAAAAATGTCTCTTCTTACTAGATAAATAGAGATGAACACATACACATACCTTGATTATGTTGCGCAATGTTACATTGAGATAACAAGTAGAGGGAGTGGGAGAAAATACAGCAACCTGCTAAGCAAACAATTGAATTCAACCAAGTCACTTTTGTTTAATAAGATTCAAAGTTGTCTTGTTGAAGTAAACATGCGTAACAAGAGAAAAGACCTTTTGAAGAACTAGAACTGAACCAGCAGTAATATCCTTCCCAAATTCTCCTTCCTTGAAGACTTTGCGATGGATACTGGCACCAATAGTGGTTGTAGGATCCTGAAATCGAAAAGCAATACAAAATGTTATTATGTGCCATCACGAGAAAGAAACATGAAAAACAGAATTAGAAAAGGAGTGATACCTTGAGGGTAACCATCATGTCTCCAAAACCGTTAGGAGTGCAGGACTTGATAACAGCTACGACCTGTTTTGTAAGCATCCAAATCATTAATTAGAATTGTGAATAGGAATATAATAGGCAGTGCAGTAGAGTGAGTACCTTGGGCACTCTTCCAGCATGGAGATGCTTCTTGATTGAGCTCAAAGGCGTAACAACATCATCATCATCCACCACGCCTTGTGGTGGTGGTGGTGGTGGTGGTGGATGAACAAATTCCAAGGCAGAAAGCCAGGGATTGGAGTTAAAATCGAGATCGGTTTCATGGCCATTTTGGACAACACGCCTTAGGAATTCTTGAGTGGGAAGGGGATCGTCCTCGGGGGATGTTTGTGCTCTGCGGTGAATCATGGCGGCCTGAAGAGCACCGGCAGGGCCCGGAATCAGAGAATAATTGGAGTGGTGGCGTTTGCAGGGGCGGAGAAAGGTCGAGATATCAGAGTCGTCGATGTCAAGCCCTTCCCAGGGTTCCAATTCCGATTCCGTTTCCATGGTATCGTATGGTATGGTACCTAACGCGGGAAACCGCCCCCTTTGCTTTTCTTCTCTTGGATTGGACCGCACGTGCCACATGGGCCAGGCCTATGCTCTCCGCAGGCCCATCAAGTTTTTTTTTTTTTTTTTTGGAAACAACCCATCAAGATTTTTTAATATAATATATTTCGACATTTTTTTTGGTGTTATTAATATCATATTAAAAGGAGACAAGCTGTCTCATGTCATGTAGACAAATATATGGGTCCCACTGTTTGTTAAAAAAAAAATAAAAAATTCAAGGGACTCACCTTTTTATTTGTACAGGAGAGAAAAGTTATCTCCTTTAACATAAGAAAATGTTTTCCCATTTTTTTTTTAAGGATTTGGGGTTTGTCTTTTCAAAGTATATAAAATTGTATTTTTTTTAAGTGAGAAAAAAATACACAATAAAAATTATGGGAGAGAAAGTAAGTGATTTTTTTAATTTAAATTTTAAATAAAAAATATCAGTTTTAATTAAAAGAAGAAATATTGTTCTCTTTTTTTAATATCTTTTATTATTAGATAAATTTCATATAAACTCACTAGATAAAAAAAAATGAGTTTAGGTTATTTATTGAGATTCATTTGAAATTTACTCAAAAATATAAGAATATGTCAAAAACAATATATTAAGGGAATATATGCTGTTAATAATAATTGTTGATTTATTTATGGATAATTAGTTAGTTAGTATGGGGTGGCGAAGAGCGCGATTGGCGCAGCGCAGAAGTGAGCGTTGGACACGTTAACGGTGGCATTGAATTGTGAATCGGATCGCCCGCTCACCTCTCCCTTCTACAAAACAAACAAAAACATCTGCCGATTCAATCAACCAACCGCCAACCTGAAATACCTGTTTTGCTTTTGTTCTTTTTTCATTTGTGGTAGAATAATAATAAATTGATTTAATTTGATATTATAAAGGGTTAGGGGTGGGAGATTCAGAGGGTGTTAAGTCACTGATGGAAGACCTCATTGGCCTTCTAAGGATTCGGATCAAGCGTGGCGTCAACCTCGCCGTTCGTGATGTCAATAGCAGCGATCCATACGTCGTCATTAAGATGGCCAACCAGGTTGGTTAGCTTTCCATCTTCTCTCCAATTCATTCTTTGCATCAATTACACGCCTCACCCTCAATCAATGTAACTTGTTTTTTTTCAGAAACTCAAGACTCGCGTGATTAAAAAGGATATTAATCCTGAGTGGAATGAAGACCTTACACTTTCCGTCACAGATGCTGTTCGTACATTCAAATTGGTAACTTTTCCTATATATTAATTGAGTTTTATCGTTCTCATGTCGGTGCAACTTCTGCAGTAACACTATCTTCTGATCCATCAATGGATTTCGTTTTTTTAAAAAAAAAAAAAAGAAAAAAAAAAAAGTGGAACCCATTTTTATGCATGTGCTGCGTAAAAAATAATGTGCAGATATTGCAGAAAAAATCACTCGTAAATGTTAGGGTTCATTTTTTTTACTGCTGTTATTGCATATAAGTTTTGGGGTTTGCATCTATCATGTCACATGACACAAAAAAGTTTCTTACACACGTAATATTTTGTGGGCTCGTACTTTTTGAAAAAAAAAAAAACTAAGGCACGCAAAATTAATATTACACAATCACTTTTCTTACAATATAACTCTTATAAAATCCATAAGTTATATGCAATAAGTCCAATATGATGTCATTTTGAGTGGAAATTATGGTATTTTTGTAATTTTAATTTATTTCAAGATTATTACCAAATCGACATCGTTTTGAGAGTAAATCCAGATAACTTATCTGCAGTAATTGTATAAATAATTTTCTGTATAAATAAATGGTTTATGCCACCTGTTTATGGGAAATATTATTCTCATAATGTAGGAGATTAGTATCATGTCATAGATATAAATAGGGGTATTAACGGACAGAGTCGAGCTCTGAGCTTTGGTCTTAAAAGGCTAAGCATATGTTTAATTGTGTCTTATCAAGTGTCAGCCTGATCAAGCCTGTTATAAATAAAATTATCGGCATGTGACCTGACTTATTTACAAAAAAATAAAAGTTTGGTTTAGTCTGTTTAAAAAAAATAAGATAACTAAAATATATCCAAACAGAATATATAATCAACAACCATAAATATTCATAAATTCATTGTATATCCAAACAACATAATATAGAACAAAATCATTCAAAAAATCTGTTTAACCAATAAAATGGGGTGAAATGGATTGAAGAGAAAGAGAGGGTTATTACAAGTAGTACAAAAAATATAATATATATATATATATATATATATATATATATATATATATAGGCAGGATATTCTTACACCAGTATAAGAATTAGAAGTCTTACACTCAAGCCTGATGCCAATAACTAATTTTAGACATGCAAGCTCAGACTTTTACGAGTCTGAGCCAAAGGTCTCTGATTCATTTAGCACCCCTAGATATAAAGTATGTAGGCCCATTTATTTTTTATTTTATCTTTTAAAAGAGTGAACCCCACATATTTTGTGTCTATAACATGAGATACCATAAAACTGATATTTCTCTCGGATATAGTTTCTGATTATTTTATTTCTTTCTCTTCTCCTTGGATGATCTCGGTTACTTTGTTGTGTGACTCTTGAAACTTTAGAAACTATATTCTCATTTAAATATGTTTTATCTGTTCCTTAGTTAGTTATTTGTTTATCTCTTCTCTAAGATTATTTTCTTTGCAGACAGTGTATGACCACGACACTTTTACAAAAGATGATAAAATGGGAGATGCAGAATTTGACCTGACACCGTATATAGAAGCCTTGAGGATGAACCTAGAAAACCTCCCCAGCGGTACTATAATCGCAAGAATACAACCAAGCAGGCAAAACTGCCTCGCCGAGGAGAGCTACATCACTTACACCAATGGCAAAGTTATTCAAGAGTTTGTCCTTCGATTGCGAAATGTCGAAACTGGTGAAGTTGAGATCCAATTGCAATGGATTGATCTTCCTGGTTCCAAGGGTTTATGATCTCAATCCTCCTTCTTTATTTATTTTCCTTGGGGAACAAACAAACAAACAAACTGTTTGTGTCTCTGCCTATATTTCTTTTTATCCCATTTGTATTGCATTTATTCATTCGGGTTGTAATTTTTGTATCTCATTGTTAATTAACATCCGCTCTCTCTCTTTCCTCTCATTTGTTTTGCTGAATGCCCTGTTTCCTCGTTTAAGGGGGGGGGGGGGGGGGGGGGGGGACTATATCAAATGTGTCATGAGGTTGACTGATTTTATATAAGGGAAACTTTATATTATATATTGCAGATTTTTCCATGTTCTAAGCCAAAAATGTTTGAACTGTCGAAATCATTCGAATTAAAAGTAAAGAGTATACTAATTATTTTCTTCATAAATTGAAAAGTAGAGTGCATGACATTTCATTTTTACTTAATTCTTTCATTATTTAACTGAAAATGAGACGAAATTTGGAAAGAAAAAATATAGACAAATACAAAGCAATCATATTCCTTTTAAGGCGCATAGAAGAAGAGTTCAAATCGAAAGCCCATTTTAACTCCCGAAAGCCCAAAATGCTGAACAATTTATTTGTAGATTGCCCAATACCAATGGGAGAAATGAGAACAGATCGAGTAGGGGTATGAGATAAGGTCCACTGGGCTAGCTTTTCTCTTCTTAAAGAGAGGATGCTCCTAACCAAATAACCTGTAATGACATTGACAGGTAAGTAAGTACCAAGCTACGCATATGTTTTTATGATTGAGCGAACGATATGATAATTGATTGCCGTTGATATTTTCAGAAACAAGAACAATAGTTTTTCTACTTTATATTTTGGGAAGCAGGAAATAAGGATCATGCCTTTCAGGCTTTCACGTTTATTTTCAGGGAGAGGTTATACTTACAACTTTTTTTTTTACAATCTCTTACAACAATATATCATAACCGTTGAATTTCGCCAATCAACGATTATGATTTTCGCAAATTAAACTCATTAATTAATTATTAATTCATAATAAATGACAACTGTTGATCGAAGGAAATCAACGGTTATAATATATGGTTGTAAGAGATTGTAAAAAAAAAGGTTGTAAGTATAACCTTCCTCTCATTTCCACTTCTAAATTTACCTCAAACCATATTGGCGAACAGCCTTTTCTTATGAGTACAATTTATTTATTTTTTTATTTTAATGGATAATAAAAATCTTTACTGTAAATATTACTAACTAATAAATATTATTATTGTAAGATATAATAAAAAAAAATAAGAACTTTAATATTGTTTTAATATAAAATCAATTATTCAATGATTATTGAGAAATATTTCAAAATTTTCTTACATTTTTTGTATATTTATGCTCAAATATTATATGATTAAAAAATTAAGCTATAAAAAGATAATATTTTGTAAAAATATTTTAAAAATATATTAAATATTTATTTATTAAAATGATTTTGACTACATTAAATTCAATAACAAAAATAAAAATTATAATTTCGGGTGTCCTGTGGATTGACCCTAGCCTATTTACTATTGTGTAGACCTTTTGATCCGGCTCTAGCACACACATTTTGAGAGTTCTAGAAACGAGACCTCTTAATTGTTATTGGAATGAGACAACAACCTCTTATTTCTTAAACATTTTCAATATCAATAAGAGAGCGATCTTGATAAAATTGACTTATCAAGTATCCCATACGAAATCCTAAGCAAAGTCAATATTGGATAATGTGTTTGAATTCGATGTGAATCCACATAAATATGCCCACGAAGCAACTTGTTTATCCTCTCTATGCCAAATTGCCAATGCAGTTGCACGACTGGTGCGAAAGTAGCTTTATGTGTAGCTTTTTATTTTAAATGCTTGCTCGTTTGTTCTGATAATTTCTTTTATTTTTTTGCATCGAAATAATTTTATTATCTTACAATTTTCTGTTTTATTTGCTGAACTGAGGAAGTGTGGGAGAACAAAAAGAATATCCAATAAAAATATAGGAAATGTTATACTTACAAATTTTTTATTTACAAATTACACTGAGGATGACGGGTCATACTTCAATCAAAAATGTATGATCGATCTTACTTAATGTAATTTGTAAAAAAAATTTGTAAATAAATTCTTTCCCTAAAAAAATATATACATATGCTTTTCGCGTCTGCATAATATTCACATATGTAGCATTTGGGTTCACGACATGAGATCTTATCTTTACGTGCTTGTGCCTAATCATGTATAAGGTGTTCATTTATGAAATATTACATCAATCTTCATCTCTTTATTATATTTTTTCTCTAATTAATTAATGTATGAATTGTAATTTATGCAAGCAATTTTTATTTCAAATTAAATATAATATATATAAACCACAAGTATCCTCCACAGAAGACAATCTTATTTTAGTCGGAAATATCTATATTATAGTAGGGCTAGTTCTCCCAAAGAAAATTTTTGGCATTTACAATGATTTGAACTCAATATCTTACTCAAGCGGAATCAAGCATGTACATCTTAAATATCATCATCTAAAATTCAGCTAAAACAATGTAAAGCCCAACTATTTCAAAAGTTGAAATTATGGTTCATAATTTTATATGTATCATCAATTTCTTTGAGGATTTTTGAGAGAGAATACATATTACACACCAATAAGACTTCACATTGATCAGTGGAATTTGAACTCATACTCTTGTAAGATATGCACTAATACCTTAGCTAACTGTAACTATCTTTATTAGCGGCACACAAATTATTAGAAGCGAGAGCAATGGGTATGTCTGCACTTACATTTTAGAATTGGTGTGCTAAATGAAAATGAATTATTAATTATACCATGTCATTCACATGAAAATTCGTAACAAGAATTCGTGACATATACGTAACTGTTAATTATATATCAGCAATCAATGAATTATGAATTGAATATGGAAGTCTCATTCATTTATATCATTTACAGACAATTACTTTCTTTTAAACAATAAAGGGAACAAAAAAAGGTTTACTTGCTATTGTTTTATACTGAAAAACAGCAATGAAATGGTTAGACTATTTACCATTATTAAACCCTAAACATAGTTTTATGATGATAAATTTCGGTCTTTTTTAGTTGTATATCGTTTTGGGATATATCTAACTGAGTAACACAAAAAGGCTAACTGTAATCTAATTGAATTGGCTGACGTTTATTCAACACCACATGTCCACATAAATAAATAAATAAACTAACCGTTTTAGCTCCACTTTGCTCCCTGATATTTTACTAATATAAAAGTAAATTAAAAAATAGTAGTGAGTTAGTAGCCAAAATATTTTCATTCCCAAAATAAATATTCCTTTATCCAACTCCACCATTTGGTCAGATACATTGGAATGTCCTAAAGTGTTGATGTATTTAATGCATAAAATTGCAATATCTGATATCTTTCATTATATTAAAGGTGGTGTGCTAGCCAACCATTGTAATTAACCAGTTAGAATATTGAAGGGCACGAAAATTTGGAAGCAAATATACATATAATATGAATTATGAAGCAAAGAGATCACATATTCATTGAAGGAATCGAGTGGGAGTTAGCTAAGAGGTAAATAAGACAAACGAGTTTAGAATTGAAGAACATTAAAATAAGCAAATCAAATGCATGCATTCCTTTTATGCTCTTAGGAAACATAAAAACCTATGGCAGTGCGTGCAGCAAAGCATGGTGTTTGGGGTTTTGAATATCTAAGAATTGTATGACTGACACGCCAACCAGTACTGTTCCCGGGGCCCCCCTTACTCTCATTCTCTGCTCTGCTCACCTCAATGCCCTCCATCATTAACCTCGACGCATGCTTGAGTTATCACTTCTAGGAGAAGGACTATTTATCTGTCTTGTTTAATTAGTTTTTGCTAATGCATGAGCATTCTAAAAATATTTGTTAAGATTATAAAATTAAAATATTAAGTAAAAATTAAAGTATTTCGTATATCGAAAAATTAAGGATAAAGTATTATACTTATTTTTTTATATTTATTTTACATTTTTACTTACTTCTTTTCAGTATGATTAAAGGAATTTCTATCTATCATGTCACATGACACCAAAAATTTTCCTACACGTACAACATTTTGTGGGACCCACACTTTTTAAAGCAAAATAATAATAATAATAATACACGCAAAATGAATCTCTATCACATTACACAATCACTTTTCCTACAACATAACTCTTATAAAACCCATGATTAAATGGTAGTTTTAATTGATTTTTATTCATTCTCTTTTTTCTTGAGACTTTGATATAATAATATTAAAGAGAAGTAGGCAGAGTATGTATAAAAAAAATAGATAAAATAACTATTCCAAACTTTAAAAGAAACTTTGATATAATAATATTAATAAGTGTTCGAGGTAGTTGTTAGAAAAGCCCATATCTTATTTATGTGGTGCATTTCAACTCCGAGGTACAAGCCAAGCCTGTTTGACATGGAATGCTACAGCTTCAATGGAAGAAATTAGAAATGGAAAATCAGTTCTTCTCCTTTAATCAAGTTAAAAAGAAGTCCTTTCAATCTTCATCGTGTCCCCTGATCAATCTCATAATTTTTGGGTTGTGGTTGCTAATAGCACAGTTTATATAGAATTGTTGCTTAGTGGAACTCTCGAGGGCTAAAGAGGCTACTCAATATGCGTATATATACATTGATTGATTTTATTTCATGATAGTTTTAGGAGCCTAATAAAGCAATTTTTTTTGGAATTACCAAAAAAAAAGCAACTTTTTTTTGGGGAGTATTAGTCTAAAAGCACCTTGCCCAAACTGAGTCAATAAAAGGATTTGGTTCTTTTCTTTAAGCATTTTTAAGAAAAGCAGAAAAAGGTTTTGTGCTTTTCAGTAACATTCTCTTTTCACTGTTAGTGCTGCTTTTAATATAAATTATCATATGTATTTTGCTCTAGCAAAGTTAAAATCCTCTGCGGACGTTTGGTTGAGGAGAAATTTTTTGAATACTAAAAAAATATAATTATTAAGAAAATAGTTGAAAAGTGAGTTTGGTAGGAAAATGTAAAAAAAGGTATTTGGTTGACCGAAATATTACTAGGAAAATTTATTTAAATTTGCAAAATCTATGTTCGGGAGAAACTTCGCACCTGTT